TACGTACGTACGTAAGTAAGAGAGAGAGAGAGAGAGAGAGAGAGAGAGAATGGTGTGGAGAGAAGGGAGATGTTTGATGTATAGAATGGAGGGGAGACCCCTATTGATAGGATTCTAGAACCTAGGGAGTCCCAGTCAGATTAGGAGTTCAACATTATCTAGGATTATTAGGTGATCTATGAGGTAAGAGAGAAGATTTAATCTAAGCCACTTCTCCAAGATCAACCATCATGATCTAGAGTGAATCTTTAGGAACCTTATCCCCTTAAATCTTTCACAAAATGTTTTTTAAAGAAATATTTTGAATCGTAATATTTTTACTAAGAAAATAGTTTTAAAACAATGTGTCAAGAAAATTTGTGGTGTCCCACTTAATGGGACGTGTGGCCTAGTGGGCTCCACATATGAGACTTGGGCCCTCAGCCCCCTACACATGGGTCCCACTAATAAAAAATTGTAATTCTTAAAATACCCTTGTTATTTAAAAATTATTGAATACTCTTTTAGTTTACACATTAAAATTTGTTTTAAAATTCTAAAAAAATATCCAAAATTCTCAATAACACGTTCTTAGTTGAAAGCGATATTTATGGAGTTTTACAAGGATCCAAAACACACAACACTATAACTTAAGAAGTAGATAGGAGCTTGATGGATCAAAACCAACTGTATATCAGGGAGTCCACCCATGCTAGGATCCATGATCCACATATGTCTTCTCAAACTAACCCAATGAGAGCCACGATCCACTGTTAAGTGCAAGGACTCATGATTGGCCCGTTAAAGTTAGTCAAAGAACCATAGTCTTGGTATGTGGATTACACCGACCCCCTTAATAGCAAGTCAAATGCATATAGTGCAAAAGGGCGCTCTTTCTATACACATGGACACATGCCCCTATATATATGATTGCTTCCTAAAATGCGACGTACTTTCCTTGCAAAAGTTTTATCGAGGATTTGACACTTGCTCTCACTGACCCTTCCTCCATACACAGGAGACCACACAACAAGGAATGACCATAATAAATCCTCAACGGTAGTGCCACTAGCCCAAGGGTAAGGGTTTTGGACATGACCTGGCCTAAGGCAGTCAGTCATAGTACGCTCCCACCGAAGTGTACAAATCATTATAAAGTACTTTTCTTTACAAGCTCTCTAAGGCTTTAAAGGCCACAAACCCCAACAAATTGCCTCTATAGCTACTATCAAATATCAATACTACATGCTAACTTGGAGGGAGACCTAACTTTTTGAGATCTTTTCCTCCTATGTTTTCTATAGCTTTGTCATGATTCCAGGACCGCTAGATGAAGAAGTACGCATGTCATTGATACTCAAATATAGAATTTTGGATAGATTGTGGCTCAATAGAAGTTTGTATAATGTGTTATGATTTGATATTGTTTTATTTTTTTGATTGTTTTACATGTTTGTAGTTGGAAGATTTTGTGAATTCCACTTTGGGCTTATACTTTGTGAATAGTTTGAAACTTTAAATTAAATTAATATTTGTCGAATATTTAGATTGCAAATCAAATCTTATGGTTATTTTGTTATGTGATATTATGTGATTATTTATTTTAGATTGATATCATATTATTTGATTTTTTTTAGATTGAAAAACTAAATATTATGTATTTTTTATATTTCATTTGGTTTGCACATTGTGTAGTTTATTTTTTGATTGGTTTCCAGGTTCTATATATTTTTTGTGGTCTCTTTTAGTTGGTTTTGCTTACTTAAAAGTTTTCATTCAAAACTCGAAATTTTTTCTTTATTTTCTTCCCTTTAATACTTTCATCTTGTGTATTTTTTAGGTTTGTTGATTAGGTTATACTCCATGAATCACTGTGACTGTGTGAGCTTTGTTGTTAGTCATGAGTCGTGAGTCATGACAATGTCTTCAACTGGATCAAGTAAGCAAAGTGATCCGGGTTTACGGATCTAGTTCAAACCCATCGATACGAATAGGGTGGAGTGTAAATTTTGTATGAAATCATGTAATGCTAGTATTAACAGATTAAAGAAAGATTTAGTTGGCGTTAGAGGGGATGTGGCCTCATGCCCTCAAATGCCAGCTGTGGTTAGGAGAGAGATGTTAGAGCCAGTGGTTTAAAAAACGGATCGATCGGGCACCCCAAAAACCCATCCGGATCGGTGTATCGGCGATCCGGGTCGGGAATAATCATAAAATTAAATTTACATCACATAAAATGATAAGCATAGAATTATCATGGATGAAGTATAAATCTCTAAAAATAATGTTATTTTAGTTTCTAAACGTAGTTAGGAGTGATACATTATGTACTTTCATTACTTTGTAAAAATAGGTGAATTCTGATACATTTTTTTATCTTGATGTCTGTATAATTATTAATTATAATATAGTATTATAATATTATAAAAATAATAATTTCTCATATAAAGTGAAATTAGAATCATATCAAAATATTAAATATTTATTAATTTGCATTATTCATCCAAAATTATCACAACTTAACTAGCTATAATATTATATAAGGAAATTGAAATTGTTGATTTATATTTTATAATTATTTTACTATACAAATAAGAACAAATTTAAAATGTCTTATAATATCATCTAATTTTAAAAATTTATTTACAACTATAAGAAAAATAATACATTATATAATTTATAATGTAAATAAAGTAATAAATAAAATACAAGATTTGGTTATCAATGTATAATTATTAATTATAATATTGCAGTAGACATGATTAAACGTTATTAGAAAATGCTTCCATATCATATGATTTTTAATTCCCTATCAAATGCTTCCAATTCCCTGTGTGTGACGTGTGCACAGGGAAGGAGGGTACCAATGGTGTGACGTTGTACACAGGAAAGTACAACTTTTATTATAAATTAATGCTGAAAAATGGAAAGTACAACTTTTATTATAAATTAATGCTGAAAAATGCGATTTATATGGATCCCGATATATTTCGAGATCCGGATCGCTTTAGACGATTTTCGATCCAAATCAGACGAATCCGATCCAGATCGATGACTTTTCAAACACTGTTTAGAGCACTTGGAGGGGGGTTAAAAATAACAAAGAGCAAGTGAGGAAAAGATATGAAGAAATTGTCAGAATTGTAGATATTTGTCAAGTTCAGGAAGAAGAAGAGGATAGATATGCCGAGGTTGGATCTTCTAGTAGGGTAATGGGGCCCATGCATAAAAGGCCTCGAAGAAGAGGGCCAATGGATTTATACTATATTGGAAGCAATGGGGCAATTTGGGCCAGCGTATAGGGCCCCAACTGCTTATGAGCTTAAGTTGCCATTGCGTAGAAAAGGTTGAGTTTACTAATAACTTTTTGAAGACCCACATGGTGGCATGGGAAATATACAGTTGTACTATTATGACTGATGATTGGAGTGATAAGAGAAATAAAAGCATTATGAATTTGATGGTGAATTGTCCATTAGAGACATTTTTCTTAAGGTCTATTGATACTTCTAAGAAGTTCCATGATGCGACCTTCATTTTCGGTGGACCGGTACATAGAGGAGGTGAGGGAGGATAAAGTTGTCTAGGTAGTGAGCATTAAGTACTTAGGCAATATGGAGGCAGCTAAGTTATTGATGGCATAGCGGCCGCATATTTTGTGATCACTTTGCACAACACACTGCATAGACCTCGTGCTTAAGGCGACTCGTAAGAGGAAGTTGATGTTCGTATCTATGGATTGGACCAAGTCGCAGTGGACCAAGAGATCAAATGAGAATGTAGTGATGGAGATTGTCATGGACTCGCAGTTTTGGAATGGGGTTCAGTATGCCTTATGTGTTTTTTAGCCACTAGTAAAGGTACTCAAGATGGTTGATGCTGAGAAGGAACCCACAGTGGGTCACATTTATAAAGCTAGGCCGGATGCTAAGGAAGAAATCAAGAAATGTTTTGGGAATGATGAAGCTAGTATGGAGAATATCTGAAGATTATATAGTATAGAAGATAAATGGAACTGCCAGCTTGAGAGGCCCTTATACTTAATAGGGTACTAACTACTTTAACCCTGCTCACTTTTACACTGATCATGAGATACATAGCAAGACTGAGTTCATGGAAGCAATCCACCAATGCAATCTCAAACTCAACCCTGATCTCGAAGTCCAAGATAAGGTCACAATGGGTTTAGATAAGTATAAGTTCACAACTGGGTCTCTTGGAAAGGAGTTGGCAATAAGGTAGAGGTCTAAGCTCTCTCCTGGTAAGTTTAGAACTTCTTCATTTTGATTTCATGATTTGAGTATAAAATTTCAATTATACAGATACATTATGTATGTGAAATATCTGCATGGTGGAAAGGCCATGGGGGACGCGCCCCCCATATTTGCAGCAGATGGCCATACATATTTTGAATCTGATTTTTAGCTTGTTTGGCTGTGAATTCAACTTCAGAACGTTTGAAATGGTAATGTTACTTAATTTACTTAGTTAGGTTATTAGCCTAACATACATTATATTTTTCTAAATTTTAAGTTTTCATTCAACATTTATCTAATAGGTCCATACAAAGAAGAGGAACAAATTTGAGCAAAAGTAACTGAACGACCTTGTCTTCATTCAGCATAATCAAAAGCTGCAGGAGCGCCATCAAGAGTTGTAGCACAATGGAAGCGATGCTGTTGAAGTTGACGATATGGATGATACTAACCAGTGGCTAGTTGATGCTGGGGATGATGAGGTATTCCTTCGATAGGGCTTGACCTGGGGCCAAGTTTGTGAGGCTGCTGGGACACCATTGAGCCCTATGCGGATCACTCGATCTCAATCGCAAAGCCAAAAAGGGGGGGGGCGGGCGTGGGGAGAGAAGAAGGGGAAGAGGTTGATGGGATTGAGAGAGGATGAAGCAGATTTAGATGAGACAAAGGATGGTGCTCAATATGTTGAGGAAGGGGCTCTGATGATGATGGCATGGAATCATCATCAGATTTTATTTGGGGTGGTGATGACACAAAATTGTCGTTTAAGTTATTAAGTACATCACATGTAGGCAGTGGACATCATGCTTTAGTGATTGACTTTTGCTGGTTACTTGATCAGTTTATGTATTTTGCTGGTTACTTGATCAGTTTATGTAAATTTTATATCATAATATGTACTCTGAGTTTTGTTGCAATTTGATGATGTTTGTCTCTATAATTATTTATTCTTTATTTTCAGGGGCTTTGGGGCTCTAAAGCTGCCCTAAGAACTCCCTGATGGCCCTAAATCCCTGCCCTAAAAATTCCCTGGGGGGCTAGCCTGTACTTGTTCCTGGGCGAGCGCCTAGGCGGCCAAGCCCCCCAACTGCATAGGCTGGCACATTCGAATTTTTTAATATTGGGCATTTTCTAACAGATGATTGTAACTTCAAGAACAATTAAAATGGTTCATCTTAAGAAGATTACAAAAATTTTCTTGTCGCTTTTTGTTAGATAGAATGCAGGATATCATTCGCCAAAATGATGGAAGCTTTCGCTTAATATATCTCCCATTGCAGGTGGCAGAGGAAAATCCAGATTCAAGTTCTCTATTCGTCCACAGTTATATACAAAGGCAGTTTCATGGCCATCAGTTCCAAGGGATGACCGTTTGTGTGGGCTTTCTGAAGGGCTAGCTGAGTTAGAGGATTATGGGCATACAAGAACACAACAATCTATAGCAAAACAGCTGCAGTATCTTCATGAAAAAAATGATTCACCAAATTGGCCTTCTAACACAGTTTGCATTCTTACTTCTGTAGTACATGTTCAATATTTTATTTTTAGTATGATTATTGGTTTTGATTCTATATCGCTGTTTGTAGGTAAGTAAAGGAAAGGGGAAGAAAAAATTATTTACCGGGAAAGAAACCTTATCTTCATTCGCTTACAGATGTATTGACAATGAAGACACCTGTGAGCCTTTGGACAACGTGGTGTCAACTGATGATGAGGTATCCTTAATTTTTCAGAGTTCTTCTGCAGACTTCTTCATATCTGTTTTTCTGGCTGGTTTCTTCAAACTTTTTGCATTCTGATAAGAGATAAGTGTCGATGATAAATATATTTAAAACCTATCATCTCAGATTTCAATTCATAATATTGCTGTCGTATGAATGGCTGAAAACATTAAAAGCCCATATTCAGGAAAGCAACCAAAACGATTCAAAATTTGCGAGTGTGTTGGTCCAAGAGAGAACAATGGCGGACTGCTTTCAGGAAGCCTTCAATGTCAGTCCAGAGATTGTTGGCGGTTCTGTCTTTCCTATAAACAAACAGAAAAGGTGAGAGTACATTGCAAGTTCTTTGGCTATGGATTTTTCAGTAACTGTGAGATAACACAGTGGAAGAAATACATTTGCTGCATTGTGCAGTTTTGGATATTTTGGGAGGTTGCAGCAGATCATAAGAAATGAGAAGGATAAGCATTTGGATTTCTTGAAGCTGTCACAAGCAAAAACAAATTCTCATGGTACAAATCTGCTAACCATTTTTCAAGCTCCTTTTATGGCATTCATTGTAAGTTTGTATTATATGTATCCTAATTATTAATGCATGAGGAGATGCATTGTTTTAGAATACTTGTGAGTGGAGTTGACCAAATTCTCTAGCAATTTGCAACTTTGTTTCTCCAGATGAAACTAGATTTGCTGATGTGCGAATATTGTCAAGATGCTTAGAAGCAAAATTGACGGTTTGTCATTGTTCATTTGGAAATAAAGCAGAGGTGTGCATTTTGATTTTTTATCAACTTTCTGATACTCATACTTTTTAGAAGGAATGTTTTTTTTCATTTTAGACTGAATATTAGATACGTCAATATGTGGGCATCTTTGGGATACTCAGAAGTTAAAGTGACTGTTTCTAATTTTTTATTTGAGGTACTTTCGATAGAGTCCTATGATGCATTCTCTGGGCATTTCATGCATAAGGGTGTATGCATGTGCACCCTTATGTGTAATGGGCTGCAACATAGGCCTACCCTGTTATCAGCCCTTGTTTTGAGCAACCCAACCATATCAATGAAACATGCCTAGTTTGGACTTGGGGTCCGGTTGTCCCCTTTTAGTAACCTATACCTTTGAACTGCTATCCAATATGGTTTATGTATGAAGGTCAAGCTGGCCACTCTGATCTGGTATTAACCTGATTTTATCTTTGTGGGTTTTTGAGTACTACATTTTCCTTGGTGCAATTTTCTATTGATTGGACCTAGTTTAAATTCCAGACCGCTTTACGTAATTTGAGAAATTATTTTCAGTTCCATCTTTTGTGTAGTCCACTGTATCGTGCTCCCCTCATTTTTGCAGAGCTGTCAGGGCATTAAGAGCTCACAAAACATAGAAGATGTCGGAGAAAGCTTTGGGACTGTTATTTTTAGTTCAAGGATCTGCATGGATGTAGAAATAGAAATTGGAAAGTTGATTCGTATTCATCCACCATGGTATGTTAAAACCATTCTTCTAGAATTCCTGAATTTTTTCTGCTTTTGTGCAATGTGACTGGATTATTGTCCTCCAATCTTCTAGCTTAATTGAATTTATTCTTTAGCTATTGGTGCAGCACTGGAGACCAATATAATGGGCACACATATAAAGCTGCTGTAATGGCACTTTATAAGATCCAGTCAGCCTGTGTGTCTGCATTTGTGCACACTTTCTTGCCTTTGAGAGCTATGTTCATGTTACCCATAATCCATAATGGCTTGTTGAAGACTTGAAGTTGATTAAAGATTTTGTGAACTTGGAAGTGGCAGAGAATATTACTATTTCAGTGAAAACTAAACACCATTAATAAGTTCCCATCTAATGATCTCGTGAATAAGCAATAAATTTTTTACAAAATTATCTCTACATAAGTAAACACGAGATTTTAATAAAAAACAATTGTGTAGAAACATCGTTAAAATTCTATAGTACAAATGTCGAATTTTACATAATATGTGCCTAATAAATTGTTATCAGCCCACGGTTCTGAATCCTTTCGGATGTTTTTGAGAATTGACATGATTTTTCCCTTTTCTCGACTTCGTTCTTGTTTAGTACTGCATTTTTGGACTTTACAATTTGGCAGCTTGGATTCTCAACTTGTGTCTTTGATTTGCCCTTTGAGATATAGACATGCATGAATGGTTTTGCCCACTGAAATGACTCCTCTGATTAGATATATTGTCTGGCATATCTAGAGGGGTGTTCTTTTACTATTAGGTAAATTCAGTCGCTGGTTATTTTAAATTATTTAAATGAAATCTGAGAAGATTGTAACAAAAAATGTTTAATTTGGTGTCCCTTACAGGAAAGAGGTATCAATTGCTGAGAATGAGAAGATTGTTCTATGTACATATTTCTCCACTGTTTCAACATGATATGAGCTTTTTTCACCCGGGAAGAGGTAAGAATTCAAACCCATTGTCGAGTTTCCTTCTGCCGGAATGAGAAATAAGAATGATGTTGATTTTGTTTGAAATTCCTTATATAGCATAACTTTTGTTGATTGTGCATAAATATGTTTGAAATGGAACTTAGCCTTCTTGTATGCAACGTGAAAAATGCCCTTGGAATCTTCTTGCCATCTTTCCATAGAAAATCATGCTACAAATTACTCCTGACCATTAATGTGCATAAATATGTTTGATTTGCATTAATGTTTTTTTTGGGAAATCATTTAGTCTGTCCTGCATTCTTAGGGCATTAGGGATTTTTTTTTTTGCACCAAATTTGGCACACGTATCCACTTGGACCAAGAGGAGTAAATTGGGGAGATAATTTCCTTTTTGGGATTGTATATTATGAGACCATTTATCATTGTTATAAAGAGGTACAATTACTCCTAACCATTTTATGTCAAATTGGGTGGGTCATGACATTTGGAAGTATTTTTTGAACTTTGGGTTTGGTCATTGATGCTCGTACAATCACCCAATTTGAAAATTGATGGACAAGATTGATTGTAATTTCCTTGTACCAAAAGTATATTGTCTCTTTCTATAGTTCTTACTTTACTTACTTTGGGGTCGAATGAATCCTTCTAAGGCTTTATTCTAACATTGTTTTTTCTTTCCTCTGAGGGTCACTTCATTTTTCCTCCTCAAGAACTCATATTCAGGGGATTCATTTTACGATCTTCTTTGCCGGATCCAAGAGAATGTGCGTGGGGAATTTGTGGTGAAACAAAGCAGTCTGCCCTTAGGTTGACCAAATATTCTTGCTTTTCTTTTGCTACTTGAAAGGAAAGTACACAGTGGTAGAAGGAGATCACAATCACCTTTGGCTGGCTGGTGGATGTGGAAACGAGTTGGGGGTGTGCAACTTGGCTCAAAGTTCAATAGAAATTTTTTTAAATTTGTTGACAAATCCCGAGCAAAAGGCTTTATAGCAATCGGCTTTATATCTAATGGACATGAGTGATTGTGATTTCTTTACATCAAAAGTAAGTATTCTTAGAGTGTACAATCCCTTTATTAAAACTAGTTGCAAAATTAGATGAACCGAATGGTTTAGACATATTCTAATCCATATGCATATAAAACCCAAATACTTGGATGGGTTTAAACTAGCAAACCTCTTGTTTGGTTAATGGACAATCCAGTTTCAGACACACCTTAGGACAGGTCTAAATGGGAAAACCTCTTTGTTTGGCCAATGTACAATCCGTTTTTGCCAAATTGTGATGGACATGCTTAGGACATGGTCGTTCAAGTTTGAAGTTTTTAAAAAAGTGTTAAAGTTGTTTAAATTTCAAAGTAATATTCCGAAATATTTGTGATCCATATGGTCATGGTAATGGCAAGATTATAGTAGTCATCGCTGGATCAATCAGTCGCCTAGTGATGGAGAGATTATGGGAAATACAAGGGGAAGATTGTTCGGTGGCCCCAGTCTTCCTCCAACACTGTTCACCCACGTGTTAGATTGGGATGCTGCTTATGATTACAATGTATGGAGCATGTGCACAGCACATTTTCCCTAGCTGTTAAATATTACCAGTGTTGATGTTCCACCGTGAGTTGTACAGTATAAAAAAAGAGGGAAAATTACGTAAATATCCATTTTAGTTTTCGTTATTATCAAAATATTGAATATTTTCTGTTATTATTGATATGTCTGTTTTTTAGACTTTGTAACAATTTTTTTTTAAAAAAGGCAATTACCCATTTTCGGCTTTTCAAAAACCAAAATTATGTCAATTTCGATTTTTGAAAAACTGAAAATTTTAAATTTCGGTTTTTGAAAAACCTAAAATTTTAAATTTTTGGTGAAAACTGAAATTTAAAATTTTTGGTTTTCAAGAACTGAAAATTTTTCTCTCTTGTGGGTCCTTTGCGTATTTTCGCTCAACCTCTCTCTCTTCCATCGAGAAACCAGTCTACGCAATTTATTTGGATTCTTGGGTATCAATTGAAGGCGTTTTTTTTTTTTAGGGTTTTTGTTGTTTTTTTGAAAATTAAGTAGGTATTCTTGTGAGCCTAGTTTTCGTTCTGTTCGGGTCTTTTCTTTGATCGTGTAATTCTTGGGTTAATCATAGCCCTTATTCTAATCTCTAAGAATTTGTTGGTTCTCTGTTTGAACTTTGGGGTTATCATCTCTGAATTTGAAAGTTGGGCTTCTTCCTTTTTTTTTTCTATTGATTTTTTTTTGGGGTTAGGTTGGTAGATTTTGCATGAGATATCTGCTTATTAAGAAATCATTTTTAGAATCATGTTTGGTATTCCATTTTATTTTGGCTTAGTTTTTTTTAATTTATGTGACATTTGCTTGGGTATCGATTATTACGGCTTTTTTGTCTTGTACATGGTTTTCTCTATTGATCCTTTTCATCCACTTTTCCCTATTCTATTTCCTTTCTTTCTCGAGGGAGATTCTCTTGCGTGGTGTTGAGATAGAGATGAGGGGGGTTTTCTTGCACTGTGTTTTGGTTTGTTTTAAATCTTTATATTAGACGTTGCGTTTTTTTTTTCTGACTCCAGGATTTTGGAAACCCATCGTGCTTTCGTGGGAGAGGAGTTCTGCACCTTAGTATGCGGCATCCACTGGAAAAAGCTCTGTAAAACAAAGAAAGTGATGGGAATGTGCACAAATGTTGTTCAATGGAATGACTCTGCTAGTGAAGAAGTATTTCACAATGCAAAACAGATGTTTTGGGCCATGATCAAATTACGTAGATTGATTTTTCGGTGGAAGAGAGAGAATACGTAGAGGACCCACAAGATTGAAAAATTTTAAGTTTTTCAAAAACCAAAATTGGCTTGAATTTGACTTTTGAAAAACCAAAAAAAAGGAAGTTTTGTCTTTCTAAAAAAAATTGTTATGAAGTCCAAAAAATGGACATATCAATAATAACAAAAAGTATTTGATAATAATGTAAACTAAAGTGGATATTTACGTAATTTTTCCTAATAAAACTCCCATTTTCTAAAAATACTACCCAGTTTTTTAGAAAACTGCCTAGTTTGTTATTAGTCGGTCGGTTTGGACTCAAAACCAGTCAGTTATGTATTGGTTATGTTTGGGGGTGGGGGGGGGGGGAACCCCCCCCTAATGGATCCCCAAAACCACCGGATCCCCAAAACCACCATGGATCGGTAGCCCCCAAAACTCTCTCTCTCTTGCCCATTACATCTTCTCCTGACCTCCTTAAAAGCCTTCCCCCCATTTTTCCTATCTCGTTCCCCATTACCTCTCTCAATTTCTCCAAACCACCTTATTCCAACCGGGCTTTGAAGTTCTTTATCTCTCTCTCATCTTGTAAGCTTGGTCCAATCTTAGTAGCGTGACCAAAGACCCGTTCCGTGTTTATTATTAGCTATCAATATAGAGGTAGTTGTAATAGTTTTAGTGGGGTTTCGGGTTTTGATATTATAGAACCATGCATTCTCTCTCTCAATGCTGGCTCAATTGTTAGAACTTAGAAGAATAAGAGAATTTAGAGAGAGAAAGGCACTTTCTCTCTGAGAATTTCAGTGGTTATTTTCTGCCATCAATAGAAAGGGAGATCATAATAGTCTAAGATGAGGTTTGCCTTACTAATAAACTAGTTTCCCAAAAGAGAGAGATGGGTGAAAGATTTTGTTTTGGAGTGAGAAATTGAAGAGCTTGGATGCCGTGAGTTCTTTTGACAGGCAAGAGAGACGTAATGGGCACCGAGAGGGAGAGAGATTGAGAGGGGTAATGGGCGAGAGAGAGAAGATATGTCTTTTTAGATTTGTTTGGCCTAAAAAAACAGGTTTAAATTAAATAAAATCTACAATTTTTATGTCTTAATATATCTTTTAAAACCTTGAGTCTATTGTGAAATGAAACTTAAAAATAGAAAGTATGGAGATATTTTTCAAAAACTAATTATTTGGAGATAAAAATTATACGCCTGTTTTTTATATAATCTTATGCAGTGTTCAACAAAATCGAACTAGACCTTGAAATTGGCCATGGGCTGGGTCTGAATAACTCGGAAACCGGCAAATTCACCCGTCTTAATTGGATAGGTCTCGGACAGTCGAAAAGCGTTAAAAGATTAAAGGAATACAAAAAAATTCTAAAAAAATATGAAATGTACATTTAAAGCATAATTAGACAAAACACATCTAAATGAAGTTGAGAAGTAAAAAAATCCATGTGTCCAAGGGTTATTTAAAAATACTATAAAAAAGAAGAAAAGTTATAAAAAGAAGTTTTCGTTGACAAAATACATTTCAGTTTTTACCAAAATAATAAAAAACAGTTAAAAACACCTTACAAACAAATCCTTAATTTTTTGGTATTTTATATATATTTTTTAAAAAAATTTAAAAATAACTGACCGGATCACCTAAATCGGACAAAACTAACTCAACCAGTAACCGATTTTGATTTACTCGATTGATTCCATTCCAAGTTGAACCAACACTGATTATATATAGTACATAGTAAAGACAAAGAAAGACACTTAACACACACAACATACTCCATATATTAAACAAAAGCAGACTTCAGTGTCCATACCCTCTCCAAGTACGGCCTCTATCTCTCTCTCTCTCTCTCTGAAAAAGCACACATCAAAACGCACACATTTCGAATCCCCACAAAAAATCGAGGTTGGGCCCCTCCTCCCTCCCTCTCTCTTTATGTACATACCCACAATTGGATCTCTCTCTCTCTATCCATGCATTGCAAATCCGGCAAATATAAAGAAGCCCGAACACGAGGAATCCAGAGAAATAAAAAGATAAACAGTAACTAATTTGAATATCGGGTACATGATCCAAAAAAAATAATCAATCACTTTTTACAATTTCATCACAATGAAACCTTGCAGGCCAACCTAAAGTACACAATTTTTTATTAAACACCATCTGGGCCTTTTTAACTATTTTTTTAACTATGGTTTTTTACCAGAAATGAGGAACACAAATAACTTGATAGAGAAGAATGAGCCCTCTGCCTCCTTGTTGTTTTATATAATTTTTTTTAACTCCATTTCATTCTCTTTATTAAGCCTAGTTAGCTTACTTCCAACTAGTGTATCATACATGGTAGGGAATATGTGGCTGTAGGAGAATCTTAGCTCCAATATTTTTAGGAAAAAATTTATATAAGGTTGGCATCTTAGATAATAGAGTCAAAGTGCACCTCAAAAAGCCATTGGAAAAGGGTTAGAATGGAAATAGAAAACCATCTACTTGATTGCCTCAACATTGAGATATATGGATATGGAATAAAGAGAAAAAAAAAGGAAGAATAGAGATAGCAGGTCCCAAAAATATTACATATCGCAAGCGGTTATAGATCTGCTTTATTTGAACTATTTTTGAAATTTGAAATTTTATAATTAAAAATGAAAATAGATTCTCAAGCCGTCCTTAAAATTTTCAATAACAACAGTGCATGACATAGTTTGGAGGTACGCCTTATTTTGACGGTTGGAGATTCACTGACTTGGCTACCCCATTCTGAGATGCGGCAGCAAGAGTCGTTAACTAGTCCTCAAAGATCAGCACAGCCATAGAGGGAGCTTCAGCCAAGTACGAACTCTTTTTCAGCCATGGCACTGCTTTGTTAAACTCAGGTAGAGGAGACAATTTATCTTCATTTTGTATGCGAGGATTCCATCCAACAGTAGTACTTTTGCATCCTAGAGCTTCGCTTTCAGATAGCTCGATCCATATGAAGCTCAAGACCTACTTCTAATACGGCCCGTTTGGATCCCTGGAAATGGGACTCCTGGAGATATATTTCATAAAAATAGCCCAGACCAAATGATGGAATTGACATTTCTGTGAGGGAGTCCTGTATCTCCATTTTATGCCGAATTTCAGGAAATGTCAATTCCATTCAAATAGATTAAACGCACAAACCCTAATGTTATCATTGTTACTATGAAAATTACTACGGCCATTAGTATTACTGTAATTATTAATATTATTATTTAGTGTAATTATTGTTGAAATAATGACTATTTAAATATATTTTAAAAAATCAAACTCACATACCCTCGCGTTACTATTAATATTATCAATATTACTACAAGTATTA